GGGGCGCGGATCCGCAACCTCCAGCAGGAGCTCGCGGACCAGATCACCAACGGCACCGGCGGCACCGCCGCGACGCAGGAGGACCTCGAGACGCTTCGCGAGCTGGTGGACCGGCTGGATCGCTGCAAGGCGGACTCGACGCTGGTCGCGAACAAGGCGGAGCGCGACTACGTGGAGAACGCCCTTGAGCGGCTAATGCGCGAGGTGGAGCAAGTGCTGAACGCAACCAACGCGGGGCTCATTGATACCCTGGACCGGTCGCTCGGCATCCTGCGCGACATGATCGACAGTAAGGCCTCCAAGCAGGACGTGACGCGCCTTCAGGAGAGTGTCGGCGAGGGCGGTGGAGTGGGGCAGGGCGCCGCGGACGTCCTTACAGGGTTTAAGGGCTACCGCTGCCTTGGCTGTAACCGCGTTGTGGATAACCTGCGCCCGCGAACGCTCGGATCTAAGATGAACCCCTTTCTTAACCGAAATCCGCAGCACCTTTTGAAGGACGAGGTCACCCGCTCCATTGAGTACGAGCAGGAGCAGCGCGAGCGGGCTGATGGGGGAAGCGGCAGGACGGGCAACAGCAGCCTTCCCTTGCGAGCGCTGCCGCTGTCTAAAGAATATAGCGATATGGAGCGAACACCAGGGGGTGACTTAAACAAGTCACTTCCTCGAATCAGTGCGCCCTCTTCCCACTAATCCCCTCCTGAGATGACGTCCAGGCGAATACCGCAACCAGAGGCGCGTTGATCGTAGAATGGTGTTCCGTAATAGAAAGGTAGGGGTGGGGCTCTGTTATTGTAGAGGGCTTATTGCTTTAACACAGGTGCAATTTTCAAACAGGAAGAGAATAGCAAAGCGGACCTCCTTTTGCCCCTTTTCATGCTATTTGCTTGTGTACAGCCTGCTCAAAAACCCATTTATACCTTGGAGGTGAATCCATGATAAAATAACGAATAGAGTTGGTTACTTTATCTGTGATATGTGGTGTTAAAATAGCTCCCCTTTACTAAGAGGAAGATTAGTTATGTACTTCATATATAAACCTTTTTTTATCCGCATGATTTTTATATTGTAGGATGTACACAAACATGCACATGATGGCGATGAATACATGTTTCATGGTATTTTTTTTTCCAAAGCAGCACTGCCGACTACAACGTGCAGTGTCAGAAAGACCTGTATCTTAATTCAACCTTTGATTGGGATTCATAACCACATTTATGACTTTTCTTCATCTGTAAATATGGACTTACGCAAAAATCCTTTTCTTGAACTTCCACATGGGGTTGATTTCTTTCTTTCGTTCTCTATTCTTGATTCTATATAGTGCACATAAAAATTGCCGTATTCTTTTCGACTTTCCTCTTTTTTTTTACCTTTCATTGATAATTTTTCTATTTCATTACTAACATCAATTCTTTTTACATTCCTTATCGACCAGTAGTTGGTTATCATAGGGGTCAAATACCTGGTTTCGTTTTCTCAAAAGAGAAGCACGATAATACCATTCATCCGAATATTTAACCTTTATATATATTTACTAGCTATATATAGATATCAACCGAATCACTTTGGGATATTATATTTCCTTCTTTTTTACGGTATCACATAATAGCAGTGGAGCCATCAGTTAACACACGCACGTGAGCACAATTCGAACCGCTCTAGAAGAAGTAATATTAATCTTCCTTTTATATTGCTTGATCTTTTTTGTCTTCGATTATTGCTTAGATACTGCAAGGCTTGGAGTTTTACACGTTTTAATTCCTGATACAATAATTGCACTTTTGCACGTACCATTCTAAACCAGTTATCTTTTATTCTAGTGCTTTTGTTGGGTAAGAAAAGGCAAACGCACAAAGTGGAGGAGAGGTCGAGTGTACGTCCAGTGTAACACAATTTCTCCATCGCTTTTTAATTTTCGACTGAACTATTTAAGGTACAAGGATACTACTGTAACCTTTCGTTTCATTTTCCTTTTTTTTTTAAGTTGCAAATACCGAGGAGGTATAAGTTTAAAATAACTATTCCCTATAAAAGAATATATACAACACATAATCTTATTTAGGGAGAAGGGTGTTTTACATTGCAGAAGGCAAACCAGAAAACTTATCAGTATTCTTTTTTTTTTCAAGAGACTGTTAAATATATTTGCTTCGCTTTATTATACTCTGAGGGAAGGGGAAGCAGTTATTTGTTTTTTATCCTTTCCCTTTTAGGTTTTAAAAATAATACACTCACATTTTGAATTATATTTCATCATCTATTTGTTTACATTGTGTATTTGTTTAGTGAGGTGTGAAACTAATTTTCTCTGTTTCTAACAGTTTCATACTTATCTTTGCTAGACTGGAGTAGTCTATTTTTTTTGTTCTCATTCCTTTTTTTTACTTATTTTTGTTCTTAATATATTATATATTTTAGAACGTATAATCCCAATAGCTGTTAAAACGTGTGTTTAGGAATACATCGGTCATAACGGGAGGTATTAACAAGAAAAAGTGAGATAGTTAAATTCTGTATAGGTAAGCTCCTTTCAAAAAGAAATCAATCTAGCAAATAGATTGTTTTTTCCCTTTAAAGTGTTACACACTTTTATCCTCATTATTATTATTAAAGAGAGAGACCCCACGGCAGTAGTAGGGTGATCATATAACATCTAACTGAACATTTTGAGCAAATAAAGGAGGAAAATTATTTCGTAAGAAAAAAACATTATACAGGCTAAAAAAGAATCTAAGCTTGTTAGAGTATTTTTCTTCGATACACGATTATATATATATTATATATATAATCCCACAACCTTTTCTCAAGAGTGCTAATAAGTAAGCTAAGGAATAATATAGTTTTAGACTTTTTTTTGCTTTTTTTATCTTTTTGAATCTCCGGGATACCTTTTGTTGAGGTATATAGTTTGATTATATTTATTATTTTGTCTTTGTTTATATACAAAAAAGGAAGAAAGAGCAGATTCATTGTTATCCTTGTTGCTTTAGAATAAATAAGCTTGAGATTTTGAACACGGAACTTACCAATAAATAATAAAGAACTATAGAAGGATTACCAATACGTTAAACCATCTCGAACAAGACAACCAATTTATATACACGAAAATAAGGCAACAGAAAACAATTAATCAAAATATGCAGCAGCAGACTTCCACAGTTTTGTTTTGTCAGTCATACTCTTCCCAGCAAGAGCAACAACAGCAGATGCAGCTTATTGATGAGGTGAATTCAGTCAGTAATAATGGCAACATCATCAAAAATATACACAATATACCACCCCTAAACGCCATAAGCTCGCCCATTAAGGAGCCAGACCCTAAGAATCTTATTGTTAACTACATCCCGACATGTGTTACAGATGACACACTACGGGAACTTTTCAGTCGATTTGGGACGTTGGTTTCCGCTCGTGTCATTGTGAATCGTAACACAAAGCACCCAAAGGGATACGGCTTCGTGAAGTATACTACCGAGGAGGCCGCCAAGATGGCTATGGTGGCCATGAACGGCTATGAAATCGAGAATAAGCGGCTGCGGGTGATGCAGGCAAACGGACCACAAAATCGCAATTTAACCCAGAATTTGGATACACCGACTCACACATCCCCTCCCAGCTTCACCTACCCGCACCTGTGCACGCCCACGGCGGTCCAGGCTACCACAAGCGGGTTGTCGGCCCTTTCCACCGCGCTGCCGGTGTCCCCGCTGGGCGGTGAGACCGAGTTCGTCCCCACCCCGCACTTCTTCCAGCCCACCCTCCTCGGCCAGCCCTGCGCGATGCTCGGCTCGGGGGGGGCGATCTACCTCCCGGCGCCGACCAACCTGCCCACCGTCATGCTCGCCCCGGCGAACCCGCCATCACCCCCGCCTCTGCAACCCCCGCCGCTGCAGCCCCCGACGACCTACCCCGCCTACTTCCCGGGCCAGGGGGGGGTCTTCCTGCTCGAGCTCGACGCACCGGGCCCGGGCTACACCGCGGGGTCGGACCCCGGCGCCTCCCTCTCCCCGGTCCGGCCTTTCCTTGCGAAGACCGCCCCCACCCGCAGCACGGCCGCAGTGGGGCCCTGGGCGGCGGCCTCAGCGTCGCACACGAATTGACACAACGGAGAGGGGCAGCGGCGCGTCCGGGGCAATGAGGGATGACTATGAGGTCGGTTTCCCTTTCCTTTGTCATTAGATTTCTATGTCTTCACTTGGCGGAGGTCTCTCCATGTTACAGGCAAAGCTTGGCTTAAGACAAAATAACAGGCAAAAGGGGCGGCTCTGTGAGACAAAGCCTTTATTGTGTTTTCGATCTTAGATAACAGAGCCAAACTAATTGTCAATGGTGAATCCAATAGAACTTTTAAAGTATTCTCCTGTACTTCATCTTTTTATTTTTCCCGAGCTTTTTTGCACTCCATTGTTTTCTTTTGAGACATGTCTCTCAGCGGTATCCAGAGGAGTCGAAAGCGTTTGGTTTGGAAAAAATCACTAATTTTTTTCAAGCCCTTACCTTTCTATTTGATTTTTTAGTATTGTCTTATGTGTTTATATTTTCTAGACTGAATGCATTCTTTTTCATTGCATCTGTTTCATTTTTTTATTATTATTCTTAGAAAAAAAGATCTTTAAAATGATAGGATTCAACTAAAAAAATTTAAAATTCCTTCCGCTTTAGTAAAAAAAAATTATTTGTTTTAACTCTATACTTTTTATAGATATCTGTCTATCTATTACTTTATTGGTTTCCTTTTCTCTCATTATGAACATATTGATATACTTAATGGTTCTATATGAGCTTAATTTTCTCTTTCATTTACTTTTTATTTGAAATTATCAATACAGAAATTTGCTATTGACCACTCAATTGGTCTCTCTTTTCAATTAATGGTCACTACAAAAACTAATAAGTGAAATCCTATGTACATATCGCTTTAGTTTTTTCCTCATGTTGATACTTTATTTTGGTATCATATTTAAGCCTACTAGCTATTGTGCTTTAAATCTATTTTGTTGATATACTTTAAATCTGAATGACGTTTCCATTTTTATATACTTTTCCTTCTCACCATTTCCCTAACTATATGCTTATTCTTAGAACTTTTTCCCAAACTCCCGGTATAGCTTTTCACTTATGTTTTACCATTAACATTGCTATCCTCACCCGATACTGAACTTAGGATTGTAGTTTATACAACAATCGGAAAGAGGGTTAGGGAAACGCGATGAAAGTAATTCCTTTTTCTACTTTTTATGTGTGATTATTTTTACCATTGATTGGTTGCTCTTTTATATATTCTAATCCTTTTTCCCCGTCAGATTCGAGTGTATTCCTTTTCGGCTCTCGAATCACTTTACTAGATTTACTCAAACTCAGGGACGTATTAACCGAAGTTATGCATTGTCCTTATTTGCTTCCTACAAGTTTAACATCTTATGTTGTAATATTATTTCTCACCTTACTATATCGTTTTTATCAAACTAATTGGTGTTAAGATATTACAGCGATTCACTTATCCTTATTTTCACACTACGTCTACATATGTCTATCGAATAGATTATATAAAGAGACGTTATTAAGTGAAATAAGATGAACAAACAGGATCTCATGCCACAGACATTTTATATTTATTAAAAAGCGGATATTTTTTCTGGAAGGCTATTCATACTATTAGTTAATTTGTCTTTTATTAAACAGACAAACAGGATTTTCGATTTTATAGTGGGCAAAAAAGACAGTTTTGTTAATTGAAAATTCTGGTTGCAACTGTGACTTAAAGCTCTTTTTATTTTTATAACAAAGAAATCAAAACAACGTGAGTGTTCATCCTTATTTTTATTTTTTTACACTTCGTGACACATTGTTGAAAAAGGAGTAACTTTTATTTATTCATTAACATAAAGTAGTTATGGGATTTGTATGAATATATAGGTATAATTTTTTTGCATTCACTTTTTACTCTTTAATTTTATTTTCTTTTACCATTCATTTCATCTGTTCTTACATACTGCACACAAACACACATACATTTCCCGTGTGCGTTTGAACCTCCTAGCCTTAATTATTAGCATAAGTGTATTACAGCAACTGTCGGTTCCTCTTCTCGAAGAAATTGAAAGCGAAAAAAAGTAGTTTTACATACGCGCTAACAAGTATTTCAATTTTTTTCATAGTTTAAATAAAGATACATTATACTAATAAGTTAAGTACACGAAAAGGAAAAAAAGAGGTGGTGAATACTACTGTAGGTGTTACTTTACCATTCCGCAGCTTTTTTCATTTTTTATTTCACTTTTAACCCATCATATCCCGCCACTAGCAGTAAAACTGAAGGCGAAGTAATAAAAGACTAGCACTGTGATGAGTGAGAAGGAAGCGATATTCGATTTTACTGAGGGCACTGGAACCCCATTAAAGGATTTTCCTTTCTACAATACATCTAAACGCGGCTCCAATGCCAAAATTATCGAGGCGGCTATCGAGCCTCTGCATCGTCTAGCCTACGGTCGCGCCGGACAAGCCGGCACTCGTCGTTATGCCCTGCAAGACTTCAAGGGATTTCCCGAGTCCATGCGTGCGGGGGTTCACGCAAGGCTCTCGAAGCTCACCAAGGACAAGCTTCGTGATTTGGTCAAGACACTTGAGATCCCTCTAAAAGTTTCCCAATCTCACGCGAGCTTAGCGGAGGGGGTGGCGACCTTTCTGATGTGCCCTGCGCAGGCCGGGGAGGGGGCATCGCGCAGGGCGCCCAAAGCGGCGGCTGCGAAGCGCACCACGGCGGAGGGGTCAGACCCGCCGACGGAGGGCCGCACGCGCGCCGATTCCTTCGCAAAGCGGGCGAAAACGGAGACCGGCGGCGTCCACCCCCCCACTCGGTCAAAGTCGCCCTCGGGCAGTCATCCTTCGACCGTTCCCACCGAAGACGCCGTGCGGGTTCAGGTCTTTCGACGCGTCCTTGTCATGTCCCCCGCGCAGCGCTCCACCCTCGGTGTGAAGGCGCTCCGCACCGAGCTCGAGGACTTCTTCAAGCTGCCGGCGGGGGAGCTGAAGCAGTTCAAGGACGCCATCGCCCAGACGGCATCGGATTGCGTAAAAGCCCTTATGGAGGCGGAGGTCAGGGCTTTGGGGAAGTCGGCCACCGCAGGAAATTCTTCCCATCATGACTTGCAGTGCCTGGGGGGCACCACACATGCATCATTAACAACGGCAGTGCAGCCGCCAGAAAACGGACATTCCTCCGCTCCTTAAGTCAGCCCGGGCTGAGAACTACCACCCTTACCGAGTTCCCTGTGCTCCATTAAGCTCACATGCGCGATGGTTCTCTGTGGTCCTAGGGGTAGCTGCTGGAGCCATTACAAAAGGTGGCCACACTCGACTTCCCAGGGAAGATGAGATAGGGTAAGGGAGAAAAGAAAAGGCGGGGGCCAAGTATTGCACTTGGCAGGCTCTTTTCAACACGAGGGAGAGGTACTGATAAGACGTGTTCTTGATAACATAGAGTAGCTTTTTATGTGCTAATGTTTATACAAGTTAGACGCCTTTTCAGAGAACTTATCCTCCAGTTGGCGTGTACAAAGGGGGTCGATCCATCGAATGATAAATATCACCAATTTTCTCAATCAAAATACTACGCTATAACTACATTTTCTATCATTACAATTGACCGAAGTATGATGCTAATAAATATTTGCACCAATAACATGATTTTTTTTGTCAACTAACAATCAATAACAAAATCCGAAACATTTCTGTGAAGGGTGGCTATAAGTAGACGCCATCCTAGCAATTCAAGCACCTCGAACAGCTTTCCCTCCTTTATTGTTCTTTTGTAATCTTTATCGTATATCTACCGCTTTATATACTATTTAATGAAGCACACTGATGCAACTTTTCATTAAAACGGCTGGCGGCCAGACGGTGGCCGTACGCGTCTCCGCTGAGGAGACGGTGGCCTCGCTGCGGAACGCGGCAGGCGTCTCGCGGGGCAGCCTCTTCTTCGGTGGTGCCTACCTGGAAGACGAAGCGGCTTTGTCCTCCTTCGGCCTGGTGTCCGGCTCTACAGTGCAGGAAATCGTTCCAGTGGAAGGTGGTAAGGGTAAGAAGAAAAAGAAGCGTGTCTTCACAAAGCCAAAGAAGCCTACCCACAAGCACAAGCTTGAGAAGATGCGCGCGCTCAAGTACTTCAAGGTCATCGAGAACGACGACGGTTCCTTTTCGGTGGAGCGAACCCGCCAGGAGTGCCCCCACCCACACTGCGGCGCCAGCATCTTCATGGCGCAGCACAAGGACCGTAAGTACTGCGGGAAGTGTCACCTGACCTACAAGGAGGAAAGCAAGTAACAACATACTGTGCGTAATTTTTTTTTCAGCATTCTATTACTCCTTTTCCATGTCAAGTTCCTCTACATTTTGCATTCGTTGTGTTGCAAAACATTCGTTTTACTCTGAGTTGCTTTTATTTGGAAAAAAAAATTATGGCATTTTTTAATGTTATTTTCTAACCCGATGGATCATGTTTCGAGCTATGCGGGGTTATTAATTTTTTATCCACACAGTTTTTCTTCTTTTATATATATGTGTGTGTGTCTGCATATGCATCTCCACATTTTAAACACATAACATTATATTATTATCATCATTTTTTCTTGTTTTTAGGGTCTTTTTTTCGCTAAAGAGGCATATTCTTACATTTAAGCGCGTCTCAGGCCCAAGGAACACCTATCTAGGGGTGGGATGGCGCAATGTCTCTCGACCCACTTCTGATGAATACCGTACTCCAAGGCTGTGGGTGCGTCGACGCATCTCTGGATGGGGTGGTGCAGTGTTCGCCTTTCACGACCTACGCAATCGCGCAGCAGGCGTACTACCTCCTCCACGTCCTTTCTACCGCTCGCGCGATGCTGTCATCTTCGTCCTCACCTTACACCACCATCGTCCGGCTTGCGGCGGAGCGAAAGCGCGGTGTGACCTCCCCTTGTAGTCTGGACAGCGACAGCCTCCTCGCCGAGGACGCGCTGGCCGGGGAGATGGGCGGGCTGGGGCAGCGCATCGCCATCCTGGGCGCGGGGGCCGTCGCGGAATCCTGCGTTTTCCTCCTGCTTGGCGAGTCCCCACCGCTTGTGCACCCTACCAGGATCACCGTCATCTCCGCGCAGCGACCCACCACGAACAAACTCCGTAGTGCCTTCGAGAAGGGCGTGAGGTGGAGTGCGCGGGCGCAGGCCCGGCAGGTACTTGCTTCATGCGATCTCCTCATTCTTGCGTGTGGAACAGTGGAGGAGCTGCTTGACCTTCTTAAGGAACGGAATACCGAAGTTGCGGGACTGGGGCCACGAAAACAAGGAACTTCCTTGCTCAAGCCGACGGCGGTTGTCTTCTTGGCGGTCACGGGGGCACCACAAACTAAGGTAGCACTGCTCCTGCAGATGGACGAGTCGTTTATCGTGTGTTCTGATGCGTCTACTCCGCACCGTGCGCCGCGTATCGCGGCCGACTACCATTCCAAGGCCGATGCTTGTACTACTCAGCTCATTAAGCGCATATCCTACTCCCTATCGTTCCTAGGGGATGCTGCAAGGCAAGCCGAGGATCTGTGCAAGAAGGATAGCCCCAGGAACAACGATGACACCTTTTCGTTTCATCCCACGCAGTGGGGGTTTACGACTGCGAACACCGCCTCAATGTTGTCGACGTTATCGCGGGAAGCCGTTCCACCGAAAAGCTTCTTTATTCGAGTTTGGCATGCAATGCTGACGTGGGTGGGGAGACTGATGGGGCACAACAAATTTTCCCTCAATGAACGCAAACCAAGTCCTAACGCACAACTGCGTACCGGTCGGAAGGAAACCGGAAGCAGTTCAAGCAGAAGGCTTATGAGTAGTTCAAACACAACTGTGCAGAATTCGAACACCTCCGAAGGATCGATGCTCTGCAGTGTATTGTCAGTTATTTCACCTTCAAACTACAACACCGTCGCGGCTGCTGTTTTACAGCGGTATCAACATAGTCTTCATTCTTCGGAGTCCGATATTGTGCGGGAAACGAGGCTGAACAGTGCAGTGCAGTGCAGTAGCGAGCACATCAGTACGCCGCAGCCTAAGAACTCGTTGGTTGTCTTACCTTTGGGGTACAGCAGCGAGGCCGAGCTAAACCATGATATGCAGCTGCACTACACTGAGGTACTGCAGAAAAATGCATATAGGCTGCATGCTTCTGTTTGAACGAGGAAACGAAGGAAGAGGAGGTGAATAAAAGGAGGAATAAAATGTTCCTACACACGCACACAGACATTCAAGCAGCAACATGTGAGATGATGCAAGCGAGGATTACAGGAAGCATGGAACTTTAACGAGTTTGCGACGACCAAAGATAGATATGTATATATATATCTAATATATTTTTTCGAGAAGGAAGGTTGTATTTGCATGTGCTTACATTTAGTCGAACGAGCAGTTCAGTCATGACTATATATATATATATATATATAAAGTGCTTTGCTTGCAACCTCTGTATTCTTGTTCATCCTTTATTTAAGTAAAAATAATATGGTATGTAAGATTTATCTCTCTTTGTATTTTTTTTCTTTAAATAGTGACATTCACCTAAGCAACGTCGTTTTATCCAATTCATCAAGACATTCACAAAACGTACACGTTATCATTATACAAAAGGTGAAAGTGACGCTTGTAGGATAGAGGTTTTTTTTGTTTACAGGAAAAAAGAAATAATAATGACGTCACTGGAAAGGTGTGCCGAGGCTCTGCTGCAGCAGAAAGCTGTCCAGTCAAGTAGCTATGATTACTTGGAAGGGCAAATCAGCACCATGGAACGCGCGAAGCGATCGTACGGCATGAATCTGAAGCTTCTCATCGCAGATATTGAACGACGCAAAAAACACCACGCGGAGGTTCATTCAGACAACCTTTGTCTCGAGCAGCAACTGAATAAAGACAGTCTCCACACACAAGCACTGCTTCTGTTACTTGCGCAGAATAAAAAGAAGCATGCGTCCATGGTGCAGCAGATGACGGCGGTCCGTGAGGCATGGGAAGGGCAACCTGCCCATATGCTGCAGCTTATTCAATCACTCAAAGAGCGCAAGGTATTGATGAGGGAAGCGACCGCCATGACCACGATGCTTCACGACGCGGCGCGGTCCTTTGCATGCATCCAACGCGCCACCTCCGCCCGCGCGATCTTTCACTCCCGACTTCAGCTCCACACCCATCAACTGCAGATCAGCACACCGCTGCTTGCGGAGCGCACAGCCGCCGCCACGGCCGTCTTGCGCGATGCCACCAGGAAGCTGCAATCGATCACGCTTCAAAAAGGCCGCGCAAACGACCTCTACCTGTCCTCCAAGCGCAACCGCCTTGTTGAGGAGTGGTGTGCGGAACAGAAAGCGAGTTGTGCATCCTGTTTGCAGGAGGGGGTGGGGCTCTACCATTCAGCCGCCCTTGTCGTCGTGGAAGGGCTTGACGAGCTGGAGACGCAGCTCGCCGTGAAGCGGCGGGCGCAGGAGCGTCTTCGGGAGGACCTCGAGGGGCTGGCCCGACAGGCCGGCGACCTCGACGCTCGCATCGCCCAAACCGGGCTCGAGACGGCGCGGCAGGCGGATCGGCTGCGCGAGGAGGCCGGGGCCCTGCAGACACGCGCTGAGGCCGCCCGACGCGCCGCCGATGGGCATTTTGTGCGGCTGGGGGCCGCGGCCCAGACGGCTTGGCTTCACTGCCGACAGATCGACGGCACGGCGTGTGTTTTGTCCTTTCTACGGTGGATTCAGCAGACCGGACAGGGGTGGGATCACACGCAGCGCGCGGCGCGTGCCTCCCGTGAGGCCGTCCTGCAGGGGTTGCGCGCCAAGCACGACGAACGCCTCGCGGCGAGGCGGGCGCGGGACAAATTC